AAATAAAAATGAAACTTCTACACCCTGTATCTCCGAAACTAAGCATTTTAGGACATACATTTATAAGAAGTTTTTTACTTCATTTTATCTGCAGAATATGCTCCCGAAGTTTCCTGAATACAATTCGGACCACCCTGTATATACAAACTTCAATAAATGTATTATTATTAATATATTTTCGTACTTTTATGCCTAGGCGTTAAAATAACCTTTTTATATTGTCAATCACGTCCTAAAAATTAATACTTTTGGGACGTTTCAAAAAAAAATAATATTGATAAATATATTTAAATTCAGAATTTATTTTAACAAATGCATAAAATACAATATTATAATATATTTGAAAACATACAATACCAAGGCTCATTGACCAATATTTCAAACAAGAATTATTATCTTCACTCGCAAGTCACATTCATCATCACATTCACACATATACAGAGTAAATAAAAAAAGTCGACACATCTTACTAGGAACAATGACTTATTGTTATAATACACTAAAAATTATATTCTAGATTAAGTGTTCTGACTGAAGAGGTACATGTGTAATTAATCTATACACTCTCATTTAGACTAAGTACTGTGATTAAGTACTAAACCACCGGGATATAAATACTTTGTAATTATTTGAATAAAAATAACCCATATTAACAATAAACAGTACATAATTTCATTTAATTGACACAGCATGAATTTATTTTTACAATGAGATTGGATTCATTCAACTTTGTTTATTTTTTTCTCAATAGTCACGAGCTTGTTAAAAGCAAAAAAAAGTTTGGCTATTTGGACACTTGATTGGCACTAACTGGTTTGTAATTACAGTATAAGATGGTTTGTAATAGATGTAAAAGTATCTAATAAAAACTAAAATATACTTTAATAGTTGTATTTAGATAGTTTTATTTCTTACATTCCCTGCTAACAATATTTTTCTGTCCCAGTCATTAATAGTATATTACCATGATACAAAGAATACAAGGTATGATATGGCGCAGGTTGGTCACTACGTCACAGGTGATTGTCGTTCAAATTGTCAAACAGATTGTGTCATCTGTGAAATTTGATTGTGTCAAAATGTGAAAATAATTTTTCAAATGTCAAGCTCGATGTCAAAACATAATTCTTCCCTATTTTAGGTCTTTTTTTATTAGTGGCAATTAAATGGATATTTTTTTGTATGGCGTATGACGTCACAGGTATAAATTGGAGCCGCTATCGATCATACCTTGTTTTCTTTGTACCATGGTATATTACATACCGAGGATGGAAGTGTCATTACTGTCATAACTAAATCTCGAGAAAATAATAACGAAAACTTTCCTCCGAGGTTTGTATACTATTTTATTTACAACCACATCATTAATTAAAAAATAGAGACTGTATTTTATTTTGAAAATAAAAAGTAAATATGCGAAAATTTGTCGTTTTCTGTTTTGGCATTTCCATATCTATAGTTACCGGTACCAGTGGTTGTTATGGCGCAAACCTTCAAAAGCAAAACAAACAACTAAAGGATGATTCACGGTACACCGGACCGTGCCCGAGCCGGGCACGTTCCGTAAAGTAGACACCAAGCCACGTCCGGGCCTTCAATATATGCTACACCGAGTGGACAACGGGGATCATGTCCGTGCCGATTATATTCTAGAAAACAGTGGTGCCGCAGTGGTACATTTGTACCAAATTTGATACTTTTAATTCTATTTGGTACAGTGGTACTACATTTTCAAATCCAGGATGATTCGGTACAATAATTATTTCCCACGCGCACCGAAAATGAATAGATATTTAATAATTATCGTCGTTGATATTGCATTAAACGCGCTTACCGATACCATTCGGAGACAATCCGCATTAATTAACGACGTATTATAAACGTTGTAATGTCTATAGGGTTGCCTATATTAAATAACCCGAAGAAAAAACTAAAAATTTGCTGTTTCTAACATGCTTCTATATTTGCGTTTTTTTTAATAAAATTTAAGTTTTCCAAGTATCGTGTGTAGTATTAGAATTACTTACATTTCTTCAACCTATACTTATACTTGGGTTTTCTGAATTTCTATTTCATGTTTTTCGTCTCGATTTGTGTCTTTCTCCAGGAAGTTTTTTATGTAGAAATTTATGAAGAAATTCACAACGACCAAACCGGTTAAAGTCATTTGCAGATGTATTTTGTTGTGCTTTAAAAAATTGTACCAAAGTGGAACATTTTTAGTTTATAATGTGGTACGCGCTAAAAGTTGGGTGCGGCAATACTGCTAGAAAACACTCGCTATAGGCCCGTAGACGAACGAAGTATTTAGCCACGGCGGCTCATTTATGTTTGCCGCAACGGGGCCGGAACGTAGCGGATCCGAGGAAAAATGTACACCGACATTTCTTGGACGGGGCACGGACGCGTTCCGGCGAAGCTCGGACCGTGCTCGGCTTAGCATGAATGTATAAGTATAAATAACATTTGACAATGTTTGGCCGTGCCTTCACCGTCGCACGGCTCCGGCCCGTCACGGTGTACCGTGAATCATCCTTAAGTGACAGTTTTGAATTTCTCGTTCGCTTTTTCGAATTTACATAACATAGAAAGCCAGAATGTTGTCGGAAAGTTCTGATAATAAAGACTACTTTAATATTGGTTCTCCACCAGAACTTACAGAAGCTGCAAAAAGAGCAGAAGCCAGTTTACTTCCCGAAAAAAGTAGGGGGCGATACGAAATAGCATTGAAAGTACACGAAAAATGGTGTGCCGAAAGAAATGCTAAGAATATTGCTTCGGAGACAGTCTTGATGGCATATTTTAGCGACATGGCAAGGCAGAAAAAGCCATCTATTCTTTGGGCTACGTACAGCATGTTAATGAGTGAAACACATCAGGGGGCCCCTTAATCGATTAACGCGTACAATAAGTCAAATTTGACCATTAATTTCAAGAAATAAATGTTTTAAAATACTTAGTTATTATTGTTAATCTTCTTGTTTATTTTTGTTGGTGTTAGATAAGTATTTAATAAAGATATTACAAGAATATGTTGCTTAATTAAATGAGACAACAACCGTCAATTTATAAACAGGTCATAGTAACCTGGCAACGATGTAAGGTCATCGAGTTGGTGAGTCATCAACTGGAGGGAGGAGGGTCATGGTCAGGTCCTCACAATAGGAATTGACCTCAAATCCAAGGAGGCAATAGAGAAAGAGGAACATATCCTCTATTATAGATACGGGACAACACCGGTATTAGGTCTAAAGAGCGACCAAGTTAAAGAAGTGGAGAAAATGGAGACAGATCTGCCAGCCTCCACCTCACGGGTTCCTCAACCGGAGGCAAGCTCCTCGACTGCGAAGAGCGGCACGGAGGGTCAAACTCCAACCGTGGAAGGGTGTGTACCCTCGGAGGAAGAACTGTTGTCAGAGGATGATGGGAAATACCCTGTCCCCTCTACAACAGGGGTATGATGGGTTATAGATTGTGTGATGACTCAAGGAAGGGGGGCACAATAGATCTTTAAGGTTGCAGTGATAAACCCCCTCCCCCCTCTTACACATTCTACATTCTACAACCTGGCAACAAACAAAGTTCCTATATACCAGCAGCGTTAATACAAATACACCGGAAGAATAATAAATGCAACTTATGTGTCGTTTCAAAATGGGACAAAATATTATATTATATATTTATTATATATATATAATAAATTCAGTAAGAAATAAAATTATCTATGTAACTTTGCCCTCGGTATTGACACCCTTATAATCCCCTTGATACATACATAACGATATTTTTAAATAAGACTCGTTATATACTCGTTACAAACTTAAAAACGAAGAAATTATTTAGCAAAATGAAAAAACTTTCAGTTAAATGAACTAATATACTTCCAATCTGTGTGTCTATTTATAATTCTATTCATTCTTGCATGCTTAATACATAGTCAAGGATATAAGAATATTGAAAGTAATAAATTAATTACAGAAGTACCTTAAGAGTAAAGAAAAGTCGCGATTGTTACTAATAAAATGTTGAATAATTGTTGAATATTACAGGGAACATAAATCAGTCTAGGGAGATAGTATCTAACTACATTGTTTATTTTTTTTAATACACTCCCAAAAATTGCCAGTCACTGTCATGTAACCCTCTTGTTGGACAAACTTTGCATTTGTACAAATTGAGTTTAAGATGTACAGGGTATTTAAAAAAAAAACATGTGTCATCTCTCGTGAAGAAATTCCTCTCGAAAAAATAAGATTTATTTTTCATATCAACACAAGTCCCGATTCTGCTTTGTTTCGTAGCTACAGGGTGTTCAATTCTTGATTTTTCTCGATTTATTATATTTTTATTCCAAGTACTTTTAGCAATTCGAATGAAATTTTGAGGGTAAAAGTTACTATAAGTGCGACATATTTTAATGTAAAAAAGGGTCGACATATTCATCTTATCACTAGAATATTTTTCTAAAAAAAGCATGTACGCCACTGACTTTCTTTTCTCTTGCTAGCGAAATGGTGTAAGCCGTTTAATAAATTAAAAAAAAAACGAAAAATAGTTCCTATAAACATATGTAGGTACGGAAATGCATAGTTTTAGCAAATTACAGGATGTTAAAACTTTTTAAAATTAGGTCTTTTGTAATTATTATCTTAAATACCATTATTTTTTTATTTGAATAATAACTAATAGTAATAATATTTAATAATAAATTAGATAACACTAAAAGCACTTGGAAGAAACTTATAATAAGACTTTAACACCCTGCAGCTACGAAACAAAGCAGAATCAGACGTACGTTGATATGAAAAATAAATCTTATTTTTACGTGAGGAATCTCCCCACGAGAGATGGTACATGTTTTTTGAAACACCCTGTACATTTACTATGTTTAGCGCTGAATTTAGCAAGGCTTCCTAGTTTTTAACACTGCAATATATTCTTTAAACCTAAACAGACTTATATCCCTTTTCTGACATTCAACAAATAAAAAATACTCTTACAGTGTCAACTTTCGAGAAGAATCAGCGTTGTCTTAACAACCACTTGACACTTACTTTTCTATCAGTTATTTCCTTCGCACTGACACTGGTCGCGGTATCGGCAACGTCGCGTCCGAATAGTACCCGTACGACCGCGAATGACTTTTGTGCACCCGGCTCTCGATTTTCTATCGACGTCCTCGTTTGAGCAACGCAACAACCACACGGCCTTCTGCGACGGACGTTCCCGAACGTTGTGTTACACCTGATCGGGTTGGACAGGTACCACCGCCGCGGCAAAGAACGAGGTACTGCCCGCTGACCTCCCCCCACCGTCATGTGGCCGAGAGAAAGAGATCGACTGTTGGCGACGGGGCTTGAGATGTTTGACGCTTCTAGAAGATCTTCTAGGACTATTGATTTCGAGATCATAAGTTTGTCCAGATCTTATTAAAAAAGTTACACATCAAGTCAAAAATATCAACAGATCTTAAAGTCTCAGTTTTACGTATCATCGTTGATTGAAAGAATTGGGAAGATACGCAACCTAAAGGTGCGTCCACATTGCTTGTGATCCTGCCCGCGCTCTTGTTTCTTCTTGCGCTTCCTGTTTGTCGTGTTTCTCAAGATCTTTCGGCTTGCAAGCAACGGCGTCCACATTGTAACGTAGCGCTCGCGTTTGTGCTGTTCGGGCATGGATACTGAAGTAGTTTTAATAGCGGCTGCTAGTGCGATCATTATTGCAAAGACAAAGAAGAAGGCAAAGAGAAAAAAAGGCGGTGTTGGATGTGTAATAATTTCAAAAGTATATCCCAGCACAGTGAAAGTAAACATCTACGCGATTTACAAACAGACAGAATGTTTTTTAATAATTCTTATCGCAAGTCCGCTACTGATTTTGAAAGACTTATTAACTTAATTGATCCCCCGTACAGAAAGAAAAAATACAACTTTTAGGAAGTGTATTCCGGTTAAAGAAAGAGTTCAATAAAGATTGGCCAAAACATTAAGATTCCTTGCAACTGGAGACTCACATACCAATTTGGTTATTTATTCAAAGTTTCCAAGCAAAACATTTCAAAAATAATACCAGGCGTATGCCAAAATATAAATAAAGTTCCCAAAGATCAGATTAAGATAAGTAGGCAATATAAATATAGAGTTATATTTTATTAAGGGTATATTTAATATTATGAATCCAAGAACAAAACACAAATATTTGTAATTCTGAACAAAAAAAATAAGAAAAATCATGGTAGTATCATTATACTGCAGTAAATACCGAATCCTATGAATGAAACCGAACTAAAAAACAAACAACGCAAACAGCTCGAGCGCTTCGAACCGCCGCGCCACCGTATGTATGCTCGCATGGCTCGAAAGCCAAGAGTCGAACAGTCGAAACAGGTAGAGGTGTGTAGTTCGTGAACGAACTAGTTCCAATGAACTATTCCGACCCCGGAATGAAAGGAACTAGTTCCTGGTTTCTCAAAGGACTAGTTCCTCAGGACCTATTCCGGGATCGAGACTGTGTCCGATATAGAATAAATATGCGACGGCGACTGATCGGCTAGAGCGCGTAGCTCGATGGTAGGCAGGAGTGGAGAGTGCCAGACGTACGTTATCGGATCCGGACCTAGAGGAACTAACACAAAACACATACACAAGGAGAAGTGCGAGCGCTTTGCTAAATATTGGAAAGTGAAATTGACGTTTAAATTTGACACTGTTGACAAGTCTACTGCTACTAGCGCCCCCAATATCGCTTGTAGGAACTACGGACTAGATTGTAACGCATGGCGGGAAGTTTAAAAAATAAAAATGATAATTCTTCATTTATTTTTAATTATGACATACATAAAAACACAAAAAAATACACCATTTTTAAAAATATGTTTAATATCATTATCAAATATACAACAGAAATTAATTCCAACAAAATAAATTAATAAAATTAAAAGAATAATGTTACAAGTAGATCAAGAGACAAAATTAATTATAACAAAACTGAAAAAATGGCGTCATAGATGGCTTAGAAATGAAGCCATCTATGAATTATATAGGAAATGTCATCGATCATCATTTTTAAGCCAGCTGGACGATTATTTCAAACATACAAGCTGAGTTCGTTCATAGTGCTCTTAGAAATCTAGATAAACAAAGAATAATAAATTAAAAAGTATTCCAGGGGAAAAGAGAGGAAGAACCTGTATCGTCTCTGATATCTGTCAGGGTATTGTTGAAAGTGTCATCTTTTGCTCGAAGTTTTCAGGTCGATTAAAAAGATGACATTTACAACAATACTTTGCCGTAACTTTCACAAATATCAGAGAGAGAGTACAGGTATTGCCTCTCTTTTCCTCTGGGATGCTTTATATCTGTTGTTCTTTGTTTATCTATATGTCTCAGAGCATAATGCCGAACACGACTACAGTATATAATAATTTTATTATCCTAAGTGGAAAGAAAAAAGATCACCCTTCTGTTTTGTACTATGGTCCCTTTCTTCCGATGGCTCATCTCGTTGATATTTAGGAAGGTATCCATAAAATATATATTTTATTATCGGTCCTGGGATGAAAAAATATAAAATTCAATTTGATTTGATGATCCTTTTCTGTCACCTAAATCAGGAGAATGACAATGAGCATGTTAAGATGAAAAAAAACTTATTTATCAACACTTACCTACACGAATAGGAAGCGATCACCGAGCGGTAAGAAGTACGATCAAAATAAACCTGAAAAACGAAAGAAAAAAGATGGTCCATCCACGGAAGATAACAAGATGGACCCCTCCAGATAACCCTAAAGCCTTTGAAGACTCAATCTCCACTGCTCTCCGTCATGTACAACAAACCGACATCGACGTCCTCAACAACAATATTACAGAAGCCATTCTAGCAGCACAGAAGCGGCATTGCAACACCCAAAAGCAAAACGACGAAAGACTAACTGAGGAAACCAAACAACTCATGAGCCAAAGAAGATCGATTAGAGGAAATCTGGAAAACTCGGAGGAGATACGCCGGCTGAATAAAACAATCTCAAAGGAAATACGCAAAGACTTAAGGAAATATAATACGGAGATGACCCAACAAACAATAGAGGAAAATCGGAGCATGAAAGTCATGAGAAGGAAACTGGCCGAGGGCAAAGTGGAAATATTCAAGCTCAAGGATGGAACAGGAGAGGAAACTACAGACAGGAAAAGACTCCTCACCATAGTGGAGAACTTTTTATAAAGAACTATATAAAAGCCCAACCACAAATACCAACAACAGCACAACACAGGCGAGACAAACAGGGGAAGAACCCGAGAATAATAAACGTAGGCTCGGAAGATATGCCACACATCACACAACAGAAGAGGTGAGAAATTCCCTCAAAGAAATGAAAGGAGGCAAATCCCTGGCGAAGATCAGATAGTGATTGAAGCGGTGAAAAGTGGGGAGAACAAATCATTATAAAAATCACTGCCCTGCTGAACTTATGTCTCGAAAAGGCATGGTCCCCGAGAGATGGAACAATGCGGTTACAATACTTATCCACAAGAAGGGCGATATAACTAACTTAGAAAATTACAGACCAATAAGTCTACTCTCCCACTTATATAAACTTTTCACTAAAATAATTACAAAACGCCTAGAAAACAAACTTGAAGCATACCAGCCCCGTGAGCAAGCTGGCTTTCGAAAGGGCTATGGCACAAACGACCATCTACAAACAATAAAGACCTTAATAGAGAAATCAATAGAATATAATAAACCGCTCGCCCTAATATTCATCGACTTCAAAAGCTCTTCGACACTGTCGAATTACCATCTATACTAAATGCACTCAACGAATGTCGAGTAGACCACAGATACACGGAACTTCTACATAACATATACAGGAATGCCACGGGATGCGTAAAACTTCACGCACTAACTAAGAAATACACAATAGAAAGAGGAATAAGACAAGGTGATACTATATCCCCTAAATCTTCACTGCGGTGTTGGAGCATGCATTCAAACAACTGAACTGGCAGAATAAGGGCATAAATATAGACGGCGAATACCTACACCACCTTCGTTTCGCCGACGACGTAGTTATAACAACCGACAATTTAGGAGGCACAGGAAATGCTGGAAGAACTAAGGCAGGCGACAGCAAGAGTGGGACTGTATATTAACTACCACAAAACACAGTTCATGACAAACTTGGTGGCCAGCGGAAACCTGGTGACAGACGAAGGAGACGAAATAGAGCAAACGCACAAATATAAATATCTCGGTCACGAGATACAGATTTGCAGAGACAACCAGACAAGCGAAGTCACACGACGCATAGGGCTAGGATGGGTAGCTTTTGGCAAACTAAGAAACGCCCTTAGGGGAAACTGCCTATATGTCTGAAACGGAAAGTGTTCAACCAATGTGTGCTCCCGGTGATGATATACGGGCGGAGACTCTGACTCTGACGAGGAAGTCAATAAACAAACTTCAAGTGGCACAGAGAGCAATGGAAAGATCGATGCTGGGAATCACTAGAAGAGACAAAGTGACGAATATAACAATAAGAAGCAGAACAAAGGTTGCCGACATTATCGAACTTATCACAAAATCTAAGTGGAGATGGGCAGGACATGTGGCTCGCACTAAAGACAACCGATGGACAAAACGAATCCTGGAATGGAGACCCAGAGAAGACAGGAGAAGCAGAGGAAGACCACCCACCAGATGGACGGACGACATCAAACGTGTGGCGGGAAACTGGATTAGCACCGCACAAGACAGAGGACAGTGGAAACACCTGGAGGAGGCCTATGTCCAGCAGTGGACGAAAATTGGCTGATATAGATAGATAGAGATAGATAGACCTACACGTTAGTCCAAGGAGTTTTATCAAAAACCTATATTTGCCTAAATAATTTATGTATTCAATTTACAAAGCAAACTGCAGCGTGTAAAAACTGAATTTTGTATGGGCATTAGACAGTGTGATAAAAAGTAACACCTTAAAAATGATATTTCATTTTTTAATAAATGCTTATTTATAACAACAGAGACTTTAATTTGATAACTTATTATTATATTGATTTCTGACTCAAATCCACATTTATTTATAATAATTTATTAACGAACACAATTAAGTATGTAATTAATTAGTATATGGGCGGAAATAATGGTGTTATATTTAATTAATGGTATACTCTTTTATAAAGATTTAAATAGTTTTCTTTTTGCATACAAATGGGCTAGTAATATTATCGTTTTGCTAAAAACGATAATATTACTAGTCTGTACATTTT